GTGTGTGCAACTAGAAAGGACCGCAAAAAAACTTTTGAATATCACTGAGGCCGCACCGAGGCCGCACAGGACTCGCGCGCGCTCGCGTAGAATCTGGACAAGTGCCTAACCGAGCCCCGTGTAGGGTTGTAGGGTGTAGGGTATGTTTTACTTCCTTTATATTCATTTTTACTCTCTCCCCTTATGAGATAAAGAATAACCCTACATACCCTACATACTCTACATTCAGTATATAGTGAAAAAAGAAAAAGGTTTTAAAATGAGACTGAAGTCAGTGGCATATGAGATCAAAATTAATAATGTAGGGTTCGAGTAAATCACCGGCAAAACCCTACACGATCCGGCCAAACCCTCGGAATCCGCACAAGGGTCACACAAAATCCACACAGGGTTTGCTCCTATTTCTAACCTTCTCTGAATCTACGCGGACTCGCGGCTCAAAGGCAGGAAGTTCCATGCAACGTATAAACGGCGGCTTCTCTGACGGGCATTGGAAAGGATAGAAACGAGGTCTGTCAAAGTATGGCGGGAGGCCTGCCGGACCTGGTTTCCCCTAATCAGCCACCTAATTCTCTAAATCCTACGCCTGCAGCAGTTGGCCGGCAATTTGATTATTCCAGAAAGCTCGGCGCTCGGCGTGGTAAGTTATACATGGCCACTGAATTGGTCTTCTTCTGACGATCATTATAGGAGGATTTTATGTTGGTGTTGATGGCAACATGGTGTACCTTCTCAAGGAGTACACCAACCAGCCCTACTTGACTGTGATTGTCGGAGCTCCTATTCTTCTGCAGACCTGGGAGGTACAAATGTGACAGACACCACTATTGGAGATGAGTTTGTTCGAGCAGTTCATCTTGCACTCAATCGCAGCCTTCACATGTCAGGAGGTATGTTCCAAGTTTTCATGATTGTTTCATATCTAAAATTGGTTATGAAGTACTCTATGCTGGTAACTTGTAACACTAAGATAATCTGTTCTCGAATGGACCTATCATGATCCAGACTAACGTCGCTGACATTCTCAACATAGCCTTTTGTCCTGTGCAGGATTCCGAACTGTTCCAGATCAGGCAGTGGCAAATGCTGTCAATCAGGCTCTAGCGCACCCTGTTACTGGACTATCAGCACTTGTCAACCAGGCCCTTGCTGATCCTGTTACTGGTCTGGGAGCTGTTGTCAACCAAGCCTTGGCACATCCTGTTACTGGTCTAGCGGCTGTTGTCAATCAGGCCATGACTCCCATCTCTCGAAACATAGAATGCCAGCAAGCCAAGAGTCATAATCATCAGTCCATCGGACGCCGCAACGGATCCCTCCTGACTTTGTCTGATCCAGCCGGCAACATGCCCGCACCTGGACAATTCCCAAGAAGTGTTGAGGAGCTTAGTCATTTCAGCGATGGGGCAGTGGCAGTGAGGGCAGGAAACCACACGCGGATGTCTTACCTTCTGAATTTCTACGATGTCATTGATGAGGTGACAGGTGCGGCTTTCCCTTCACCTCCGGGCGCTCTGCCGGCTGGTCCTGCAGGAGACACAGAATTGGAGCGGATGCAACGGGCTTTGGAAAGATTTTTAAGTGAGATATAGGTGAGGCTACCTTCAAACACAAATGAGTTTCTGCTTTTTGCAAGAGCTGATTTATCAAGCGAGTCAGCACTAGATCAGTTGTTGATACTTAAAGATCTGACCCCAAAGGCAAAGGAAAGAGGTTGGAGAAGAAGACCGCCAGGAGAGCTGACAAGAAGAATTAAGGTGACTTTCTGTTAGCACTTAAAAGATTGTGCACTTTTATGTTAAAAAGAGCAAAATGGTTTGTTACGAAGATGCCAAGATTTATGTGATCAGGAACACTCTGAATGACCTGCTTTACATTGGAAGCACCACCATAGCTTTGTGCAAAAGGATGACCAGACACCGTTGCGACAGCAGAAAACAAAGATGCAATTCTTCAAAGTTCTACAAAGCTTTGGCAGAGTTGGGTTCTGAGCATTTCTTCATTGAACTTCTGGAAAAGTATCCGTGTGAGAGCATTGAAGAATTGAAGCGGTATGAGGGACAAATGATTAGAAAGTTCGATACAGTTAAGAACGGTTTCAATTCAGAGATTGCTGGACGTACGTCTCAAGAGTATAAGCAGGAAGAAAAAGAACTGATAAAGGCAAAATATGATGAATCTGGACGTGCCAAAAAAGCTGAGTATTACCAGAATCATAAGGCTGAGAACCATGCAAGACAAAGGTCATGGAGACTAGCACATAAAGACGATGAAGCATTTCGTGAAGCGTGTCCGCTGTGTCTAAAAGAAATGAGGAGAGATTGCATAAAGCGACACATTAAAACTGTCCACAAAGAAGCCTCTACAGCTCCACAATTTCTTGGCTGAGTTCTGCTATCCTTTTTATGCATTTATCAATCTGCTCACGCAAGTCTTTGATTTGTTGCAGCTTGGCGGTCTTCTCGGCTTCCTTCGCGCTGCCTGCTCAGGTGTCGTAGCGATGTTATAAAAGCCTTGGATGTCGGCAGAATTTCCCATCTGGTAGGCAAGCTCCTCACGAGCCTTGATAGAAGGATTAGTAGCTAGGAAAGCAGTGATTTTTAAATGCCTAAGACTATTGACCCCTAGGGAAGTTTTCATAGCCCGTTTGAAGGTATCCGTGACACACTTAGAGAACGTACCATTAGTGTAGGGATCCTTGTTTGTGTTTTCGAACAGATACTTTCGCTTGTGTTCTGCTAGATTTGTTTTAATCACATCGAATAGCACTCCAGTCAGCTTCGCCTCATACCTGTCGTATGTTTTTGCTGTTTTGTAATTGCCGATCACCATGTCCACGAATTTGTTTCGAGTATTTAGAAACATTTTGTTCGGCTCCTCGCTGCCGTTGAATTCTGTCTGGCTCTTAAACACCTCCATCTTGCCGTAATCTTTCAATCTCCTCGGTGGAATCAGTGTGTACATAGAGACCAGCAGATGATCTTTGCTCGCAAAGTCATCCTTTCGAAGTCGTTTCTCGCACTCTAGCACGTCTTTCCATTGCACAGGCTTGCCGTTCAGCATGATAGAAGCGACCTTCGGTGCATTTTCTTTTGCTATATCTTGAGCTGCACCGGCAGCTTCCATCATGGCGTCGTAAAACTTTTGCTGGACAGTGTCAGCCACCTGCAGATTTGTATGTTTTATGAGCGAGACAAACGCTACCAAGTATCCTGTGCGCGAATTCATGTTTGGATACCGGTCGATGATGTACTTTATCACTTTGTCTGGCTGATTGACTAGCTTCTGTATGTATGTTTTTCTCGTTGAGACAACCAGCAATAAAATTGGTCTTCCTGACGTAGTCTGTCTGCGTCTCTGAAGCCAGGTTCTGATTGTTCTCAATCTGTCGTGTAGTCTCTTCGATTGTCACACTCTTTTCCTTTCCTTTTCCTTTGGCTGCCCGTCTGGCCGGCTTTGGTTTAGGTGGAGGTGGAGGTGGAGGTGGAGGTGGAGGGGCTGTTGCTTTGCTTCTGGTCGCTCTACCTACCGCCGCCGCAGCACCTGATGACCTTGGTTCGTCATCAATACTGATCACTTTACCTGCGTTTTTGCTGGCTCGTGTTCTTGGCATATTTTGCTTCTTTACTAGAAGGATAATATATAAAACTGGGGTCAGATGTCCGCATTATTTTCTTGTCAGAATTAAAATGGATTACGATATACCAACAGATCCTGTAGAATTGAAAAGACTGCATGCATATTGCCAACGGCTATACTACCACAGCCTCCCACCAGAAAAGAAACAAGTTCTGAATGAGAAACAGCGCATCAGATCTAGAGTGAAGTATCAAACCGACCCAGTACACGCTGAGAAAGTAAAAGAATATCAAAAGGCACGCTATCACCGTAAGAAAGCCGAGGCGAGTGCTTCGAACACGAATGAAGAAATTTAATTTTGGTAGAAAACAAAACTACTTAAAGGAATACTTCCTCTTCATATTAGTAAGAATGGACGCGAAGCTGGATATCGAGGCACTGACTGAGAGCATCAAGGCATTTGTTTTGGCACAAGTCGCTGAACAGGCTGCTAAAAAGTCACCCCAACCTGTTTGGAGACACACTGCAAAACTTATACAAGGAGGATGCAGCGTATGCAGACAAAATTCGTACAGCTGCTCGCGAGCGTTTTCACACGCTGAGCAAAGAGGAACGTGACCAGATCAATCAACGAAGCAACGAACGCTACAAAAATGACCCCGACTACCGTGAAAAGAAAAAGCAGAGGGCGAAAGAGCGGTCGGCTAGACTGAGGGATGAGCGTCGGGCAGCGAGGGCGGCCGCCGCAGCTCTCAGAACTTAATTTTTTTGAATTTGCACAAAAAAAGCACTTAAGAACAATTCAATATATCTGCTTAGTATAAGCAAACATGGAGGCAATCGCCGACCAACTGCACAGTCTAAAGATCGACCCGGCAAAGTGCGAGGTGAAAATTGTTGTCAACAGGGTATACAGCACCAGTGCCAAGCGTTATCACGAAGACCCAAAGTACCGTGAGTCCGTGAAATCAGCGTCACGTGCCCGTACACAGAAGCTGACGCCCGAACAGAAGGAAGCGAACAAAAAGAGGGTTTTGGACAAGTATCACAGTGATCCTATCTACCGGGCAAAAGCCTTACAGCGTGCACAGGAGCGACGTGCTCGGAAGAAGGAAGAAAATGCCCGGTTGAAAGCTGAAAAGAAGGGCGAACCCTAAATATCAAATATTATTATTTTTGTCTTTTAATTTGCACAAATGAAAAACTACTTAAGGATAATATCTTACAGAATAGTAAAAAGCAAAATGGCACCCCGACAGAACCTTACAGCCTTCCTCTCAAAGCGTAAAGTGGAGAAATGTTCAGCATTTACTCACACTGGATTAGGTAAGGACTTCCTTGGTTCGTATTACGTCAATGAAGAGGATGTTGACACGTTGCATGACCTGTATATCAAGTCCTTAGAGGCCGGTGATCGCCTGCACCTGACAGAAAAGCACCGGGAGGGTAAATCTCCGATCTACATCGACTTTGACTTCAAACAGCTGTCTGGAGACCGGTTGTATACCCCCGAGCACGTTCGAGAAGTATACCTGGCGATCGCCCAGGGGGCATCACACTACGTCCAGTTCACCCCCGAGGACTTGACCTGTTACGTGCTCGAGAAACCGTCCCCCCGACCGGACAAGAACCACCCGTATAAGGATGGTTTCCACCTCATCTTTCCTGACATCGTGACGTCACCAACCGTCCAGCACCTGATCCGCAAGAACATCCTAGATTCTAACAGCCTTGCCGAAATTTTCGGAGACTGTGGATTCAAGAACAATTACTCGGACATGTACGACGAAGCGGTTATCGAGAAAAACAACCTGATGATGTACGGAAGTCAGAAGGTTGACGAGCCTGCAGCCTGGACAGTAAGCTACTTGCTGACTGGGCAGGACGGTGACGAAGAAGAGTGTGAACTTGAGCCTGCTGAACTGGTCTTGGAACTGTGTGTCCGAAACAAGTTCACGTGCAACCCTACGATCGCGACAGCTACAGCTGAGATTGAAGCATATGCCGCCGAGCGAGCCAAGAAGGCAGAGAAGCCAGCGCAAGCCAGCTTGTCCAGGTTTGCGGGCAACAATGCCATCACCTTCGACAGGCTTAAGGCTCTCATTGCTGGTCTCGCGGAGGAGCGGGCGGCCGGTAGAGACAGCTGGTCAAAATGCATGTGGGCAATCATGAATGTCTCCAAGGACAATGGCTTCAGCGAATTCCAGAAGATGAAGCTGGGTCATCAATTCAGTGAGCTCAGCCACAGCCACTATGACGAGGATGGCGTGGATAAGTTCCTAGCTGACGGGGTCAAGGAGCACACAAACCCTATTAACCTGGCTACATTGATCCTGTATTTAAAGCAAGACAACCCGGACGTATATGACACTCTGTTCGGCGGCGTGAAGTCTTATGATGAGACTAAAATGGAATTTGAGCGTAATCATTTCAAGGTAATGCAGCCACTGTGCTTTGTTGAGGTCGAAGCCGACGATCAAAGCCTATATTACCGTGGAAAAAGGGAGTTTTTGGAGGCTTATGAGAATCTATATTGCACGGTGAAGAAGGTGGATAAAAACGGAATAGAATATACCGAAAAAGAGGCATTTGTTAAGTTGTGGTTTGCCGACACTCAGATCCGGACGTACAAAAAGTTGGTCTTCTGTCCGCCGCCTACCCCCGTGCCAGCAGATTGCTTCAACACTTACAACGGCATGCAAGCGGAAAAGGCGGAGGCTGACGTCAGCTGCGGAAGCATCGAGCCCTTCTTGCGACACGCGGCGGTGCTGTGTAACAATGTTCCCCAGCATACGGAATACTTCCTCAAATACTTGGCTCATATTGTTCAGTTCCCTGGAAAGCTGTCAAACGTAGCTATAGTTCTCAAGTCTATTGTGGAGGGTGTCGGGAAAAATACCTTTCTGGATTTCTTCATGAAGCTAGTGCTGGGGGAGGAGCTATCCTATGAGTCAGCGAATCCTGTCAGAGATCTGTTTTCCCGATTCTCACAGCGGAGGAAGGAGAGACTAATGATTGTCATTAATGAGACCAGTGGGAAGGACACGCACGCATTCAGTGAGCAAATCAAGGACATGATCACGTCGACTACCTACAATCATGAGGAGAAAGGCATCCGACCAATCAAAATGAACAATTACGCCCGGTTGATCTTCACAACCAACAATGACGTCCCCGTAAAAATCGGACAGCACGATCGACGGTTCGTGGTCTTTGAGGCTAGCAACGAGCTGGTCGGAAATGCGGAATATTTCAGGAATTTTGCGCAATATGCCGCTGACCCGAACAATGCCTTGGCGGTTTACGAATATTTAAAATCGCTCGACCTGTCGACTATTCATTTAGAAAACGATCGCCCGAAGACCGAGGAGTACCTTGAGATTCAGAAGAACACCATCAAGCCCGAATACCGATTCTTGGGTAGCATGATCGAGATTTATCGGAAAAACCACAACAGCGACGTGGTAGCATTTAAGGGTCTGGATATATTTATAGAGTTTTCCAAGTGGATGACCCAGGCTATACCGTTGCAAATCACCTCCACACAGTTTGGACGGACACTCAACACGCTGATGAAGCTAACCGACTCGGTTCAAAAGCGGCGGTTAGGAACCGGGGTGGTTTATGAGATCAATCTACTCAATCTACAGCATTGGATGGTGGAGAAGAAGTATATCGACGACGGAACTGGTCTGGACGACGTTGAGAGGTCTGTACCGGTATTCAGACCCGAATAATCAACTCATTTTTTTATTAACGCTAACTGTCGTTTAGCGGGACTCAAGAGAAACGCCCAACTAAACGAGTGTAGGGTTTGGGAGATTAGTGTAGGGTTTGAGAGGAGAATCGCGAAACCCTACACTATTGTCCTTTTTCCGTTTTTACACTGGTTTCAGTCTCTCCTTTCCCTTTCCTTTTATATTTCAGTATATAGTGAATGTAGGGTATGTAGGGTATGTAGGGTTATTATGGAACTCAACACGGGGGAAAATAAGAAAGTCATATAGGGGAAGGCGGGGTCAGCAAGTCTACATACCCTACACCCCGTATAGACTGAATAAATAATGATATTTGGTAATGAAGACTGAATTCAGTCTTTTAATATTTCTAAACGTTTAAAATGTAGGGTTTCCAGACTTTGCTTGCAAACCCTACACAAATTTCCGTAACCCTACAAACCCTACATCGACTTATAATCTCTACGTTCAAACAAATGAAAAATTCTCTCTGATAGAGTTAAGAAATATGTGGTATTATCGTGTGCTTATTGAAGCAATAGACCCTTTAGATGGCGACTTGACTTACATTAGCGACTACGTAAAGGCAGGCGTTTTGAATAAATTCGAAGCATTTGTAAGAAGGTATTACCCTGAACACAAATGGCTTGAGAAAAATAAGGTGGAAATCACGGAGGAAAACCCTTTCCAGCCGCACGATGAGAGATGTACGGTTGTGACACGCTACGGACTTAGTAAACTACCCGCGACGGACGCCCGATTACCAACAAGCTGCCCCATCGCGACACCCCTGTCAAACCCTCTGTTGAACTTAGCGGCCGCGTGTTCACCCGCCGCACCAAAGTTCGCGCCGATAGCCGACGACAGCCTATGAATGAGCGGTGCAGACCCGTGCAGAGTCTTCGCCACGTTGCTCGAAACATCGCCAATACGTCGGATGATTTTGCCTGCTGAGTGAATACCTTTGAGGACAGAAGAGCCGATGCGTGAAAAAAGTCCCATGTTTTATAAACTATCCAGAGAATTTAATCCAGTGACTGATTTGATTAGGGAAAGTTTTGTGTAATCCAAGATTTCACTCAGAATACCCACAGTTCGGTTTTGCCCATCTTGCACATTCTTTTTGTATATCCTCACTAGAAAGGTGATGGTGTAAGGGTTCAAATAGGTCAGGTCGTTGCCGTATATGTCCTTTATCAGAATTTGCAGCCTGCTTATATTGCGCTCATTTAAGAACATTTCAAACTGGTTGCCAGGGTTCTGCCAGTGTAGGACAGTAAAAGGAGCTGTGTCAAAAGGGATGACTGCCAGCACATCAGACGGCTTGCACTTCAGGTCTTGGTCTGAGCTGAAGTTATCCACGTTCCAGCAGGCAGTTGTGGAGACTCCGGAAGCATGCAAGACCAGCTGATTGACCCCTCCCTTCAAGTCCAGCTGGTTGGTGCTAGTTATGGTTGTCCCAGACGGTGTGTCTGTACTGTTGAAGCCAAAGGTTTGATAGCTATTGTGTACGAAGGCAAGAGCATGAGGGGTTGAGAACTTGAAGACAGCTCGGTTGGTATGGTTGTCATAAGTGCAGGTCACACTAGGGTACAGGCGGCTCACAGTAAGGCAAAGATCTCTGTAGCTGTAGTTTCCTGGTGGCACTGTGATGGTGGTGCTTGCATTCAGGGCATCTGTAAAGGTGAGCTGGTTGTTTAGGCTGTTAACCACGTAATACTGAATTTGCATCGTGAAATCTACCACTGTCAGGCTCATCTGATGCTCTGGCATGGCTGTCATTACATCGGTATCAAATTCAAACACAGAATCATAGGAGTTGGTTTGTGCTGACCTTAAAAACAAATATTGACTGTTGATGAGCACATTCAGGTCACTCATTTAGTCTAAAGGGAGATTTTCATTCGGTCTGGATGATCCCAAGGGTGAGCTGCCAAGGTGGTACCGTGGTGTTTGCACCAACCAAGATGTCACTGTCATCCGTGGTATACATGCTCTTAAAAGAGATTGTTAAGGTTCTCTGAACAAAAAGGCTTAGGTCTTGCAACGAAACGCCATAGTGTGGATTGCCATTTTCATAATAAGCTCCACCAGCTGTAAGGATGGTTTTTGTTGCAGTTCCTGTTGAACTATCAAAAGACAGAGGCTGTGCTAATTCTTCGAGATTGATATTGTAAGGATACGTCGGAGAAACTGTCCCCACAAAGAAGAAGTTTGAAACAAACAAGCGACAATTACCCTTGATTGTATCAAATGGAACTGAGACATTGCGGAAAGTAAACCCAGTGTGTCCGTCCGAAGTAGCGTCTTTAGATCTAAGCACAAGCTTATACATCCGGTCATAAGGCTTGCTCTGGCTTACATTCTTGAAACGGATAAGGAGACGGCTGGTGAGGTGCAGATCGTCCTGCAGCAAAGTTGACATCCATTTTAAGTTAGTATCACATTTTAATCTTCTGCTTCGCTATCTGGATGCACAACCACAAAACCGCCCCCTTCGAGCTCTGTTAAACAGCCAGGATTTTTGTGTGCTTCTCCTCCTTCCAATACTTCAAGTGCTTGTACTGTCGTTCTTAAAGCTTTTTCTTCATCTGCAGCCCTTTGCTTATCCGAGATGTGCTCCACCTCGATTGCCCCTGGGATCTTGAACCTGTCAGGGTCTTGCTCTGCCTCGGTAAGCTTTCCCTTCCCTTTCTTCGCTTGCTTTCGTGTAAACTTTTCACCCTTCTTCTTATTCTCCTTCAGCCATTCGCCATCACTGGCATCGATTGCGTACGTGTCTGCAAGCTCCTCTACCACAAACTTTGGGATTTTAGGATAGTCCCTGCACATAGCACTGATCCACTCTTCTTTCACCTTGTCTGCGACCATTTTATATGTGCTAATATAATAAAAATGAAGACGGAACGACTTCCTATCTCTAAGGTGGACATCAAGAACAACAAGCTGCCATATGGAGACCGCAAAGTGCCTGAGTATATGCCTGCTCTTCACCCGCTAGTGGCTTTGGTTGGCTCGCGTGGACAAGGTAAGACCACCAGAATCTGCGAGTGGCTTCTTATGTATGACGCAGCCAAATCGTATGATAAGGTCTTTGTGATCTCGCCTACGTTTACGAGAGACCCCAAGACGGCTTGCCTGACGGAAGAGCCTCGAAATTTCACAGTCGAAGTTATTCCAGGATACACGGAGGATGGCTTCAAAGACATCATGGCATATATGGTGCACGAGGTCGATGAATACAAGAAGTACTTAAAGGAATTGGAGGCTTGGAAACGTTTCCTTAAGTGCAAAAACATAGATTCGCTTAGCAACGACGATATCGCGCTGCTTTATGGTCTTGACTTTGAGGCACCTAAGACGATCTATAAGTGGGGCTTTCCATCGTTCTGTGTGGTCGTAGATGATTGTGTGGCAGACAAGAAGATGTTCAGCCCGACCATGCGTGGGGCTTTTGTGAACTTTATCCTTCTTCATCGCCATCACTCTTGTAGTGTGATTATGGCGAGTCAAGTGCTAACCAATGGTATACCTAGAGGTGTTCGAGGGAACGTCAGCTGTTGGATCCTGTTCGATACGAAATCAGACAAACTCAAGGAATCGATCGCGGAAGAGCTGGCATCTAAGGCAACCCCCCAAGAGGTCTTGGAAGCCTGGACGCAAGCGTGTCAGAAGCCTCACGACTTTCTGTTTGTGGATTACGATTCAAAGGATCGAAACCGCATGTTTAGGCAATGTTGGGATAATCAGATCTTGTTGGAAACAATCAAGCCTACTCCGGAAACACCGACTTAATAGCAAGGTCGCGCATAGCTTTTGACACTTTCGAGTTGATTTCATCACGAGCAGCCACATGCATCATGTCTCGTTGGGTTGGTCTCGCAGCCGTTAGCTTTGCAACCTCCTTCGCCACCTCCTTTTTTACAGTCTTTATAAACCTTCTTTTTTGCTTGCGCTGGTAGTGGTCGTCATCGCTCTCGGAGGAGGCGGACGAATCTGAATCAGACTCGTAGATCACCTTCTTCACCTTCTTGACTGGCTTCTTCGCCTTCTTGACCTTGACCACCTCGACCTCCGCCTCAGATTCTTCTTGCGGCTCTGGCTCAGGTGCTTTGGGCTCAGGTTCAGGTTTGAAAGTCTTTTCTAGTGCTTGCACCTTCTTAACTCGTTCTTCAAAAGTTTTTTGCTTTAGTGCTTTTTCTTTCTCCGTAAGTTCCTTCATTGCTTGCTTTTTAAGTGCTGCTTTCTCCCGCATAAGAGCCATCTGCTTCAACTTCTCGGGGCTGCATGGCTTTTTCGGCTTACCATTTGCCCCTAGAGCAGGCGCGGCGGGAGCTTCCACCGTCTCCTCGACTGCTTCCGCAACCTCTTCGATCGGCTCTATAGACGTGTCACTCATTTACAGAGTACTTAGAAAAAAAATTCACTGTAATATCTGTTTTCTCTGACAGATTTTGCAGGTACGAGCTTCTGAAGGGATAATATATAGGTAAGTGTGCCCTTTAAATCCAGTGTATTCCACCGCTTTTCAACGGGTGGCACATTCACGATCAGCTTCTCCCCACGCTGGGATGCAGTCGTGCCCGTAAGGCAAGTAAATCCGCTCACATTCGTCTGCGTAAGATCGGGTAGGCTGAGGTCAGGCAGCTCCTTATAACCAATCTTGTTTGCAGGAGCTATGTTCTTCCTCTGGTCAATCATGGTAAGCGAATTCCCGTAAAGGTCAGCCTTACATGGGAGGTTCCACGCTAATTTATCGTCCGGCTGTGCTAGCTCGTCGTAGTCTGCTTCAACGGGCATGCGAACAACTTTAGGTAGCGAACGGTTGTCCTTTGGGGCTGTGTAAGGCTGCTCATTAGGCTTCAGCTTCTCGGGGAACATGTTAGCTAAAGGTGTCTTAAACGCGACTGCCATTCTTTATACAATAGAACAAATAATAAAAATCAATCTGCTTACCAAACCACACTTACTTGGCGGTTCGGACCTACCTCCATTAGCGCTGTACACTCAACAAACACCGTGGGCAGGTAGCCAGAACCTGTACCTGTCGTCTGCCAAGTGATGGTCGAGGCAGAACCACGGGTGTCCAGACCAGAGCTTAGCCTGGACGAACCTTCATCGTTGTCGACGTTGAACTTGAAGTAGTGGAAGAATCCGCTTCCCTTAAACTTCGTAATTGAATCGAGTGATCCATCCATGGCACCCACCATATCAGCAGACAGACCCATGTTGTGCAAGTTCTCCATCCAGATTTGCTCTGAAGTCAGTGGTAAAGATGGGAATCTTACTCCATTTACAGCAAACACCGAGTCCACCACATCCGTGGCACACCTTGTAAAGTACGCGCTTGAGCGCAAATTGGCGTCTAGTGCGTTGGTCAAGTAAGTTGTCGAGTTCTGGAAGGTAGCCCAGACCCCATCAACGCTCTGAGAGCTTACCGTCATCCTCAGATTCTGAGCAACTGAACCAGCATTCCCCTGGAAAGTCAAGTAGTACTTGAATGGGATTTTCACACCACCGTTGCTCAGCCTCTGTTGAACGATCTGAGAGTAAGAGCCGTCGTCAATGCTTATCACCTGGCAAAGAGCCTGAAGCTTGTCAAGACTCCATGTTCTGGTCGTAGAGTCTGCATGAGCCAAAAGAACGTTTGTTCCAGCAAGCTTGATCTGGAGGCGCACGTGTCCAAGAATTGAGGTGTCCAGGTAGCGGGGCTGAGCGCTAGACAAGAAACCAAGGAAATGAGAGATGGCAACCTTACCACTGTAGCCATCGGTATTAGCAGCAGCCGGAAGAGCTGTAACATCACGAGCCACTTGCATCGCTTTCCTTTGAGTAGTTTTGTCAGCACCATAGTAGTCGATCAAAGCGGTTGAAAGATAGTTGGTCATCTGAGAACCGGGTCCTACTTGAATTCCGTTAACAAGTACGGTAACCTGATCGATCAAAGACTCGACATTTCTGGGAGCGTTCGTACCAGCCCCAGTGGCCAGATCGCCATACAACGTAAAAGCATCCAGGTTCACGATGCTGTTCTCGGGGAGGGTGATGGAGATCGTATCCCCGGCATTAGCCTTGACGGGCGTCTGAGGGTACAGGAGGAAAGTATTCCTAGAAACGTTGTCGAGCTTCTCCAGATAGTACTTAAGGACGGATGGGTACGACATGTTTTATAAATTGAGTTCAGATATTAATTTCGCCGTTGACTTTGTTCATCTTTTCATGCGTATACCTGATTTTTTCAGAGAGAAATTTGTGCCAAACATTTCATTCAACTTGTTGTATAGATTTCGATCGACGTTCACAAACCCTCGCTTAGTAGTATCGGTTACTATATTCATCCTCGCTGCCATCAGCAGAATCTCTTGCTTTTCAATAGAAGAAATTTTGCTTTGAGCATTCAAAGATTTCCATCTACTTTGAAAAACTTCCATTTGCGCTCTTGTTAGCACACCTTGCGTCTCTTGCCTCTGTTCCTTTTCCTCCTCAGTATCATATACTGCTGTTTCCTTCCCTTTAGCACTTGGTCTCGGTCTCGGTCTCGGTGCTGACTTCGCTCTCTCTTTCCTTGCTGGCTTTGGCTTTACTTCCTCTTTCTCTTCAGGTCTTTCCTCCACCGCCTTCTTTTCTTCAGTTGTATCCTTTCCATACTTCTGAGCTAGCTTATACAACTTTTTTATGTTTGTTTCTAGGCTGTCGCTTTTGATGAAGTCCGCCCAAGGACTCTCGATGGTTTCGAACGGCTGAATGAACGGCGTCTGTCTTGTGTAAGCGAAGCGACCCACCACGCCACCCCCCAGCTTAAAGAAGGGATTCTGCTCTTGACATTCCTCGCAACACTCTTCGTAGGATTTCATGAAGGTAAGTTGAGATATTTAAAGGATTCCCGTGTAAATGAAACAGCCATAGAGTTGCGGTGAACCTGTAATGCTATTCATATTAATTACCAGTTGATTGAATGAGTTAATCGAATAATTATTTACTGACATTCCATTATTGAAGAAGTCCCTTTGACTAAAAGTTGCGACCTGACCTACTTGGCGACTGATATAGATGGAAACCATGCAAGACCATGGGTATGTGATATTTCTAGTCTTCACGAAGAAATCAAGTCTTCCCATTGACGTGACTAAAGTACTACCCCATATTGGTGATAAATCTATCGTACCAGCAAGACCACTGAATGCCGTATATCCACTTGAAACAATGACGGGTCCTTGCCCTGCATTAGACCAAGCCGGGACGTTGAGGGCATCCGTTCCAATAGAATATGTACTGGCGGCAAAACTTGCGGTAAGCGTACCGTTGACCGCTGTTCGAACTGACCCTCCAGACGATGCATTCACTGTTGTCAGTGTTCCTGACGAACTTTGTGTAAGAGCATAACCAGTGGTATTGTGGTTATTAAAATGCGAGAAAGTAGCATCACCCGGGAAAACGTTTGATGATATTTGCGCAGTCTGAATAATCGCTCCGTTTCTAAACTTTGAACTACCATCATTGTATAGCACGAGATTTGACTGGGTCTGAGCAGAGTTCAGGAATACAATCTGTCCTAATTGTGTGCCTATCACGCCGCTACCGTTTAATTGCAAATAACCTTGAACATTAAGTTGATTTGTGACGTTGACCATTCCTCCGACGTTCAACTTGTTTCCAAGATTTGAACAATTACCGTTGGTATCAACGGAAAGCAGATTAGACCATGTTGTATAGTTCGAATTGAAGGGTTTACATACGTTGAAAGCAGCCGCAGAATAACTACCACTGATGACGGCTCTCACTTGACCACCAGCCCACTGACCAAATCCGTACAGATCACTTCCACCATAATTTGCAACAGTCATCCATCCAGGGTCAGAAGCAGGAAACTGTAAACCGCCAGTAGCACATGTTGCAACTCCGTTCACGCAATTACTGGCGTTGACGGCGGCGTTCGATACAGTAGTGAAGGCGGTACTTGTGTTGCTCAAGACGGCTGGGACAGAGATCAACGAGGAGTACGGCAACGAACCTGACAGAGTCGTCGCTTGAAGCGTAGTACAATTGATAGTACCGCCGACGTCGAGCGGATACCCAGGAGAAGCATTCGATATACCCACAAAACCGTTTCCTGCAACTATGGTAAGTGGCCGGAGGCTATTCCAAGAGCCATTGGATGTTCCACTTAGAAGCATGTAATATTGACTACCGTCGTACCTCTATATGAAACTGTTGTTAGTTGAACCATACCAGTAGCGTGACTGTCCGTAAGAATCGTATCCAAAGAGTGAGTTGGATGCCGCTACTGAATAACCGACATTAACATTACATGTCTGAACCATTCCACGAACATAGAGACTCCCCGTATCAGCCGTAAGACTCATGAGGCAGCTCTCGTTATTGTTCTCCCAAATATACCCCTGCTGAGTACCGCTACCCGTCCGCATTCGGATATGGTGAGCAGTTCGTCCGTCAAGACTGATGCATGCCGTATTACTTGCTGCACTTTTACCAGCACCAGACTGGCACATATACATCGACCAGTTCCCATCATTTGCATCCCAAAATCTAAGACCTTTTTGATAACCCGTATCGCTTTGAGTGTTGATGCTAGTTATACCATACGAAGTAAGAGTGCCGCTACTAGACATATTTCTAGCAGCATTAAGAACTCCCGCAATGTTAACATTTCCAGAATTTGATAAAGTTGTACTTGCTATTGTTCCAGAATTAGAGAGAGTCGCCGATGAGATGAAACCACCCACCTGCAGGTTGCCCGCATTAGTCAGATTACCGACAAAAGACGTGTCGCCCGTCCTGCAGTTAAACCAATGCCTATCATTACAGTCAGTCAAGCACTTAAACTCAAACCTGACCAAGATGCTAACCCTCCTTGATTACTACCACCGTTAGACGTACCAGGGAGACTGCCGTCGACGCCTTCACAATAAACATGTACCCCAAGATTCGGGTCTGATGGAACGCCTACCACCAAATTTGATGTAAATATTCTCATGTTGTTTGAAGGAGTTTGAAGCGAATAGACTGACAGCGACGTATTAGACACACCTACGTAAGACGGGGCTCCCGTTATATTGCTCCAGCCAAGACTCGAACTGTTGAAGAGGAGAGCTGGTACGCTAGTGAGTAGACTATATGCCACGTTGTTGGAAAGCAGAGCAGGAAGCCCCGATAGGTTCGAGTAGCCGAGCAAACTTGAGTTCGACAACAAGCTCGGGACGCTAGTGAGTAGACTATATGCCACGTTGTTGGAAAGCAGAGCAGGAAGCCCCGATAAATTCGAGTAGCCGAGCAAACTTGTGTTTGACAACAAGCTCGGTACGCTCGTGAGATAACCCCACCCTAGCGAACCCGCCAGAAGATTCGCAACGAGAGTCCCACCAACCTGAAAATTGCCAGAGTTAGAATGAGTCGCCGAAGTCAGCGTAGTCGCAACGTTTGCCGTTCCATTTACATCGAGAGTCGCCGAGGGTGCAGTGGTACAGACCCCGAACCGTCCGTTGCCCATACAGTTAAATGATGCTGAACCAAGAGGTTGTCCCCACATTCCTATTGCTCCGTAATTACTAGGACTTGCGTTCAAATAATATGAGAATGCATGCCAAGATGTATTGTAATTCGAAACGGTGTTGACGCCAACATTTAGCAAATGATAAGAATTGGAATTCGGCGAAGGAGTGTAGAGTGATGACGAGATTCCGCTGGTTGTGGTCATATTACTGGTTAAAGCGAGACCTCCTGAAATTGTGGTAGCACCAGCGGCGAGCGTCCCAGTGATGGTCGCGTTATTAGAAACTAGAAGGTTAGAGCCGACACTTAGGTTGGAGCGAACATTTACATGGTTATTCGACGTCTGAAGACCATTGAGCTGGAACAAACCGTTGCTCGTGGTGGTTAAACTATACGTGTCCAGGATCATATTACTATTCTGATTCGAATCCCTGTAGATCATCCGTGAGTCTTGTATGTGAGTCGAAAACAGACCGATATCCATGTACGAATTTGCCGCCCCCAACTTCATGTAGCCTGACGCAGCATTGATCAGACACGAAACACCTGCATCCGCAGACTGGAGGACTGAGCTGATAGCACCAGCCCCGTTGAAGGCTTGAAACGCACCAAAGGCGAGTCCCGCTGCTCCAAGCACCGTTCCACCGACAGCGATGGCGTTTGTAGTGGAATCGAATGATGGGGCTCCGCTTATCTGAGACCATGGAAACGACCCGCTCTTGGTCTGTAGCGACGGACTCGTATTCGAACAGTAAATCACAGCATTGCACGAATATGTTGCCGTGTTCGATGCGAAGGTAGAGCGAATACTATTCGAATTTATGAGAGCATAAGAGGTATTCGATATAGTCTGAAAATTGTTCGAGCAGAATACACCAAGATTACTTGAATAAGCGCTAGTGTTGGAAGCGAAGAGTGATTGATTACTAAGGTAAATATTGTTTGAATACACAGTCGTGGACAAGTTTGAATAAACATAATTAGACATACCTGATACGGTCGTATTCTGAAGATTACTCCATGAAGCGAATGAATTAGAAATGGTTGCAATATTTGACGTATTTGACCAGGTTTGGTTCGATTGAGTGTTAAGATACAAATAGGTCGGGTTGCTATAGGCGAAATAGGTGGTAGCATAATTTGAAAAACTTGTAAAATTACACGAAGTCGCAACGTTCGATAAGTTATTAGACGTCCAAGTACTCTGGTTGCATAGGGTCGCTAACTTTGTGTAAGAATCATTGCTAAAACCTAAAGTAAAATTAGACAATGAATTTACCTGATTGGATGACCAAGATGCTACGTTGCTTACGGTGTTTATGGTGTTGGAGAGACCCACAACCTGATTCGAAATCCCCTGAACCTGGTTCGAGAGCGAAGACAGTTGTCCTGAAGTCAGATTACCCGTCAAGGTTAGATTCGATGCTGCAACCGACTGGGCGGTTACTGCTCCAGCAATAGACACATCTTGGAGAAATTCAGCGGCGTTTGAGACGGTGAAGGCTGGGTCGACCTGAACGGATGAAATGATGTTGCTTCCGTTGCTGCTCGTAGCTGAGAACTGGAAAGATCCCCCACTCGGGTTAACCTCCGCTGTCAGAGGGTATGAAAACTGTAGATTGTCGTTAACGTACAGTTTGAGCGTGTTCAGGGTTTGCCTCAGGGCGATCAGGTTGTTGCTGGCGGGTACAAGTGGGTAGGTATTGCTCGACAGGAGAGTGTTCGAACCTGAGTAGAGAGAGATATTGGAAGCAAACTGGTTCAGCTTGATGGAATACTGTACGTTAGAACTATCACCCCAGCTTATCAAATTGGTGTTGACCTGCCCAGTCTGGTTCAGGTAGTACCTCGCCAAAAACGAATTTGCTGGTGCTATTGAGACGCTGGCGACTCCAGTCTGACTTGCACCGCTGGTTAAATAGATTTGGTTATTACTCAGCTGGGCGGCGTTCGAGAGCGTCAATGACATTTACATTATTGACACAGAAAAAAATGATCTTTTTAAGATATGCATCTCCTCAAGTGGGTCGGAGGAAAGACGAAGATAATTGACCAGGTCATCGAGTCTTTTCCAAAGAGTATGAACAATTACCACGAACCTTTCCTGGGGGGAGGAAGTGTTTTGTTAGCACTTCTCAAGAGTGATATCGAAGTCAAGGGAACGATCGTAGCGAGCGACGCTAATCCTCACCTGATCAACTTCTTCAAAGCGGTCAGAGACGACCCAGGACACCTTTCTTACGAGCTTTGTCAGCTAAAAGATGACCCGAAGCACGAAACCCCTGAAGCTTACTACTATCTGCTAAGAGATCGGTTCAACATTGCCCCCACTCCCGCTCTATTT